TTTGTTGTTACAGTGGAAATTGTTTCGTGGGTTTTCATTATCATGCAATGTAACCCTTCTCCCTCAGATTGCCTATGTCGATCAGCCAATGTAACCTCACTGCAATATCCACCATTTACTTCAGTAACACATGGTCCACAAAATTCATTCAAAAATCCAGACACATCTGAAAAACAGTTCGAAATAAAACTGGAAGTTTAAATCAATTCTTGATGAATGACTGTGCTTTTCATTACGTCCCAAGCATCTATGACTATCGTCTCCTCCCCAAAGCTATCAAGGTATGTAGAGCTAACCTGTCGTCCATTCATGTTGACAAAGAACTTTGTGATCCTGTAAGGTCGACGCTATCTAAACTTTCCAACCAGACGTTCCAAGACTTCATCGTCTCCCATGGTTGGCGGCATCCAAATACCCTCTTCATTGGGGTGCATATAAAATAGAAGAATCAAACCAGGTAAGTAAACAAAATTTGTGAAGGACAAAAAAAACAAATACATACAATCATAACAACATAAATCACTTCATGAAATAGCAAATGATCAACAAAGGCCAACATGTTCAAAGCTTCCGTCTAACCACGCCCAAATAGCCTCTTCTCCATGAAAAAATTGCAGTGAAGCTTTACCAGTATGTAAGCCTCACTTCTTGCACACGTTAGATCTGCAAGGCTGACCGGATCTCCCCAAAAGACAGAAATGATTTATCGTAATCAAAATGCAAGAGGAAACAATAAAAACAATATAGAAGATGATAAAAAAGAAACAGAGGCCGAAAGAAATATGATATCCCTGCTTCGTTGTACTGACCATTTTATATCCATCTTTGGCTAACAAAACGCGGGATATAGACGATTTGAATTTGAATTCCAAATATGACATGACTGCTTGCAGAGACCTCATAAACATCATTCAATAATGGCTTGCACGCAGCCCATAAATTGAACGGCGAATACAGCACTTGAACGGCTTATGAACAGGAAATTGAACGGCTTATGAACAGGGAATTAGGTGATAAGCCTTATTGAAGCCGCATACTATTGATCGGCTTGGGTGGAACACTATTTTATGTTTTATTGATATTTTTAATTCAATTTTTATTTTCCAACATTTAAATATTTGAAATAAATTTTATGCTTCTATTAATGTCAATAGGAAAAAAGATAAGAAAATACCCTGGAAATTGCCAAAGAACAAATTAGTGTGGATGAATTTCAAAATTTCAATATAAACTCTTTGTACGGTTGTACCATTTTAGAATTTTCAAATTTTGTGAAATTACACAAACGCCATTTAATATATATATTTTTAAATATTACCACCTCAGCACTTCCAAGCCTCAGTGATCTTATAGGTGCCCACCCACTAGAGCTTCAGCGACATGTCACTAGAACTCCCGTGATCAGTCACCGAAGCTCTGGTGACTATTCTTTCGTATGTATTGATTACATTTGTTTTTAAAACTCTGAAAACTACTCTTATTTAGCTATTGACTATTCTAGTAATGCGATTGACTACTTTCATTTTTAAAATTTTGGTGATTACTCTTGTTTAGCTATTAATTACTCTAGTTTCGCTACTAATTACTTTTAGTTCAAAAATTCAAAAAATGTATTAATTGTTGTTGGAGATCTAGTGACTACTTTTTATTTAGTTATTTATCCCTTTTGTGTAGTCAATAGCTATATAAAAATAATTATCGAAACTTTAAAAATAAAAATAGTCAATAGTTAAACTAGAATAATCAATAGCTATATAAAAGTAGTCACCGAGAATAAGAACAATGTCATCATTTCACAATATTTTAAAATTCCAAAACAGTACAAGGGGTCTAATTTGATATTTTGAAATTCATCTATCTTAATTTGTCTTTTAGCATTTTTGAGGGTATTTTAGTTTTTTTTTCCATATCAATATTAATTGTACAAGATTTATTATTAATTTTACTATAAATCACAATGTACTCTCTCTGGTTCAAAATATAAGCATCAAATCTTTAAAAGGGTTTTTTTTTTTATAAGATACAATTTGAATTTCTCTAATAATTTAATGTTTTTTTTTCATTTTTCCATCTCTTTATTTTCACTCACTCTTTCTCATCTCTTTTTCCACCTATTCTCTCTCACACTTACTATTTCCATAAATAAGGGTATTTTACAAAAATAAGTTACATTTTTTTACATATTTATTATCTTTAACTAATTTTAACCAACATTTTAAGTTATATAATTTAGTTAATTGATGCTTATATTATATACCAGAAATAGTATTTCGAAGTGATTATTTTGTTACAAATCATATTATACAATGTGAATGAGGACCCTTTAGTGAGTATTATTAGATTTCTGGGAAAACTGTGAAAATTCCTCATTAAAAATTTTATTAGTAGGAAGGACATAATAAATTTTCATACACATATAATATTCTTGGTTTGTAAATTTTATACGGATAAGGTGTTTAAATATCCTAAAAATACACACGAAGTAGCACCCAGTACATAGAAGTTTTTTTTTGCTCTTATATATCTTAGAAGCTTTATTTCGTAGCATTTTTTCCTTGAACCGTTATCTACCGTTAAGTTTGATTATTAAGGACATCGATCAAACTGCATAATTTAAAACGCAAACTTAACGATAGATAGCAGTTAAAGTATGTTTACTATAAAAATAAACTTTAAGGACATATAAGAGCTAAAAAAAAAATCAGGTATTGGATGCTCTTTTATAGATGCTTTCAAAATATTTAAACACCTTATCCTAATTTTATACACACAATGTACCAATAAAATTTTCAATGAAAAGTTTCTCCCAGATTTTCCTCAAATTTTCCTCTATTATATTACTACTTGGAATATGGCATTTAATGTTTGAAGTAAATGCTTGAATTTAAAATTACATGTTAAGCTGCTGGCATTCTCCTAAAACAACTGCTCTGAATGAAAACATTTTTTAATAATAAAAGCTGCTGGCATTCTCCTAAAACAACAGCTTTGACTGAAAACATTTTTTAATAATAAAAAATGATTTCGAATGAATTTATAAGGGAAAATTACGTACAGGTCCCACAAAAGGTAATTTATTACTCTGAGGTTCCATGAAATGTCAAAATCACTGACAGATCCCAAGGGACCTCAGAGTAATATTTTCGATTTGTAAAATGACATTACTGCCCCTCATATTCCAAATTCACATTTACTCTGTCATTGCGATTTACAACCTCAGCAGCGACTATTAACAACCCAATGAGAGGGCGTTAACAACCCTAGCAGTATCCGTTAACAACTTACTTTATAGAATCATATAACCTCCACATAAGAGTAAATTATAACCAAATAGTATAATACAACAACTTTAACACTAAAATGGGAAGCTTTTTGATATCATTAAGAATTTTAACTAGATCCAATAGGATTATAGTAATATTTTAATGCGAAGATCCATTTACAACCTCAACAGCGACTATTAACAACCGAATGAGAGGGCATTAACAACCTAAGCAGTATCCGTTAATAACTTACTTTATAGAATTATATAACCTCCGCATAAGAGTAAATTATAACAAATAGTATAATACAACAACTTTAACACTAAAATGGGAAGCTTTTTGATATCATTAAGAATTTTAACTAAACCCAACAGGATTATAGCAACATTTTAATGCGAAAATCCATTTACAACCTCAACAGTAAGTATTAATAACCTAAGGAGAACTATTAACAACCTTAGCAGTGTTTGTTAACAACTAACTTTATCGGATAATATAACTTCTAACTATAACTAACTAAATTATAACTAAACAGTCTTAAAGTTAATCTTATATAGTTGTTAGAGGTTATATAATCCTATAAAATCAGTTGTTAATAGATACTGCCTAGATTGTCAACAGCTCTCTTTGGGTTATTAATACTCACCATTGAGGTTGTAAATGGATCTTTGCATTAAAATGTTGCTATAATCCTATTGGGTTTAGTTAAAATTCTTAATGATATCAAAAAGCTTCCCATTTTAGTGTTAAAGTTGTTGTATTATACTATTTGGTTATAATTTACGCTTATATAGAGGTTATATAATTCTATAAAGTAAGTTGTTAACGGATACTGCTTAGGTTGTTAATGCTCTCTCATTCGGTTGTTAATAGTCGCTGTTGAGGTTGTAAATGGATCTTCGCATTAAAATATTACTATAATCCTATTGGATCTAGTTAAAATTCTTAATGATATCAAAAAAACTTCCCATTTTAGTGTTAAAGTTGTTGTATTATACTATTTGGTTATAATTTACTCTTATGCGGAGGTTATATAATTTTATAAAGTAAGTTGTTAACGGATACTGCTTAGGTTGTTAATGCCCTCTCATTCGGTTGTTAATAGTCGCTGTTGAGGTTGTAAATGGATCTTCGCATTAAAATATTACTATAATTCTATTGGATCTAGTTAAAATTCTTAATAATATCAAAAAACTTCTCATTTTAGTGTTAAAGTTGTTGTATTATACTATTTGGTTATAATTTACTCTTATTTGGAGGTTATATGATTTTATAAAGTAAGTTGTTAACAGATACTGTTAGGGTTGTTAACGCCCTCTCATTGGGTTGTTAATAGTCGCTGCTGAGGTTGTAAATCGCAATGACAGAACAAATGTGAATCTGGAATATGAAGGACAGTAATATCATTTTACAAATCGAAAATATTACCCTGAGGTCCCTTGGAACCTGTCAGTGATTTTGACATTTCGTGGGACCTCAGAGTAATAAATTGCCTTCTGTGGGACCTGTACGTAATTTTCCCAATCTATAATCCATACAAATACTACAACCATCTTGGGGATTTCAAATAAATTCTCAATGGAACATTCGACCGCCCCTTGTGATGATAAAGTTTAACAATGTAACAGCTTGTCACGCTAACAATGTAACAACAAACTTGTCACGCCACCCACCCTCCCATTTTCCTCAGTTCTCAACACGACAACACCAATCCAAACTGCCCTTGCAACATGCAGGTGGGACAAACTCTACATGTCTATTTATTAAGTTGTAATGATCTTTCATATACTGAAGTAGGTCCATAACTTACATTTACAAGAGAGAGCGTCAAAATTCAGAGAACCTAGGGAACAAAATACAAGCGCTAAGCCTCTAACCATGGTCAACTATATTCACGAGGCCTTTAAATCCTTTTGATTTCTAGGTCACTATTCACCAGGTTAGTTCTCTGACTCAAAAAAGTTGCTTAACCGATCTTGGTATCATATTTGTGCTCTGTTTTGCTCCTCTTTTAAGCGTAAAACAGCTGGGATTTGGTCATTGTTTCCAAAATCCATATCTTTAAGCGAAGCGTGCTTCCCAGAAGTCACTCTGTGTGGCTTTAAAGGCATTGAATTGGTAGTGGCTGTGGTATGGCTGCTATTTCTAGAAGCAGGCGCATCATGGTTATGTTTTCCCTCATACGTAGTTATGACAGCTTTAGGGTCTGTTGAAGATCTCTCAACATGCTTACGCACATTACATCCTGCACTAGTGCATTTGTAATAACTCCTGCTCACAGAAAATAAGCATTAGCAATAACGTATGGTAAGTTTAAACTAACATGTAAAAATTCATTTGAACGCAAGATATTGATGGAGAAGAATGAACTAGACGTATTAGGGGCAATTCCACAGATATCCATATGTTGAGAAGGGAAAACAAAGGAGTCGAAAATTTTTTAATATGAAACCACTACTTTCGAAAAAGGTAGCAGGACCAAGGGACATAGAGGGATATATATTAAGTTTATCTTCCTAGAGTAAGAGTGGGTGCTGCATGACTAGAGAATGATTCACAAATCCTAAATTTACAATCATCCCTTGATAAATTTTAACAGGCTTGTATCATGGGACAAGCACAACATGTCTGAATGATCTTACACAACAACTGGAATTGAGACATGGAAGACTTAATTAATGGAAGCAGAAGCAGCACCAAAGGTTAGAGCAACTGCAACGTATATGTTCATGCATAGGAGGGCCTCAACTAAGAATATTAATTAGAGTGAAACACAAATAAAAAAAATTGTAAACGATCTATAAGGATTCTTTAATGTGCAGTTCTATCACCCAAGTGCTCTGCCTCCTTCTCTCACTTAGCATTTAGCAATACTCACATCTGGTGAAAAGGAAAAGATCCTCATTTCAATCGTAGGAAATGACAAAAAGAAACTTGTGATTGAATCAATGGGTAATTTAAGCTGAAATACAGGTAGTATCTCCCGCAGAAAAAGAAAATCGTCAGGGAAGAAGAGAATGGATTTGATCAATACCATGATGAAAATAAAAATAATCAATGAAAAACTGAAAAAAGTAATTAGCGCATCATAATGAATTCAATGCAGGATGACAATTTCTTTCTTTTTCTCTTTTGGGTGGCCGTGAATCACAATTTCAAGGAACTATGGCATGCTCCTCATTTATGAGCTAATTTTTTTCTTGTCATCGGTTTGCATTTTGCAGTTCTTGTATACGAATTGGATTGTCACTTGATGTGATTTCAACTATGTGACACATTACAAACATATTTTTACAAGCTCACAAGATAACTAGAGTAGCACATGAGAATAGACGAGGTGATCACCTTGGATGAGGATTTCCCTTCACTACTTTCTGGCCATACTTGCGCCACCTGAAGCCATCATCTAACAGATCAACTTCGCTTCTTGTTTGCACAATGATTTTAGGTTCTGTAACAGTCTTGTGGGACAAAGATGCTTCAGAAGTCCCAACCCCAGTGCTCCTGCAAAGCAGAACTTTAGCCTATATTTTGAAAAGAAAAAAATTTCAGAGCTCTATATAGAAGGATTCACAAAATTGTAAAACTTGCCTCCTTTTTGGGTTAGGCTCACCAACATCTCCATCTTCTTCCATAATATTAGCATCAAGCACTTCCTCACTCTCACGTGATCCAGATGACTGTCTGGGAGCCTCTTGATTGCAGGTCTGGTCACTCTCACGCATTGAATGGTCAGGCATGCTTTCACCCAAGACAAATGAATTTCCAACCCAACCCTGTGTATTTGACTCAGACATAACTTGAATGCTTTTATTTTCATTTGATTCACAATTATCTTTGGCAGCACGCCTATTTGGCTGAGGCTTTTCATGGTTATGCTGGCCTTTATAGATAATTTCAGTTATATGGCCATCAGGGGCACGCTCAATCTTTTTCTTTACAGGGCAATTCAGATGTGTGCACTTATAGTAGCTCCGTGGATAGTCACTCCCCTTAACCTGCTTCTGTCCATACTTACGCCAGTTATAGCCATCATCTGCTGGTTTGTCAATGCCCATAGAAGAAGTTTGATACTTGTTGTCAGCAGGAGAAGCTTCTGATACTTCCACTTGGGCACCTTTAGGTTCCAATAGTGATGGTGCCACTTGCAGCTCTGATCCTTCAACTGGAGTACTGGATGGCTGCACTGCCAATGGTTCAGGAGCGTCTGTTTCAGCAGATGGGTGAAAATCAGCTTGCAAATGCATCTGTGATTGTGCTAGAACAGCCTGAGCTGTAACCTGTGCTAGAGCCTGTTGGTGGGACATCCCAAAGGGGCTCTGTATATATTGAAATGGAGAGACAATAAGAGGCTCATACAACTATATCCGCTGTCCCCCAGACATGATGATCACATTGATACATAATGATGAGAAAAATGCCCTGCGGCATGACCAATACCTCTGTCATATTATGCAAGCAGCTATTTCTCCACAGCAAGAAAGCAATGAACCAAATTCTTTGCAGGAAAAAAAAATCAGAATAATGTTTTCCACAATAAACTTAGCATGCATCAAGAACAAGGACTTATTTAAAACCGAAATATATGATTCAAGGAATGAAGACGAATTCCCAGGAAAAGTTAAATGCTTGACTTTTTCAGTTACCAACTGTAATCTCAAAGATACAATGCCTTCAATAGTATTGAAGACTTCTCCGATGGGTTTCTTTCTAGATCTTCAAATTGCACCAGACGACAGAGAGATTATTCGCGAAGCCAGGATAAGGGCAACTGAATGACCTAGAGATCAACTACGTGAATGCATGCACCGAAGAGTAACTAGTAACTAACAATTGGGATACAATACCACGCACCATCAACCATTAAGACAAAAACAAGACACAATCACGCCAATCCATTCGGAAAAGCTGTTTCGAAATTTCAGTACGTTGTAATATATGTGGACCAATAAACTTCAACGAACTAAACATTTCAGGTAAATGTACTAGCCAAGTCCACTTTCGGTATTCCCACAAAAGAGGCAAGGCAAGGCAAAAGAAGCGCAAGTACAACCACAAAGTTAAATTCTTTCACACACCTGTGGCGAAAAGAAGCCCGGAGAATTAAGCAAACCAGAAGGGCTAAGCCCAGGCGGGATTGTAAACATTGGGGAACGAGCAACAACCAAATTCATTGGTCTACTCTGCTTGAACCCCAAATTCTTCTTTGCTCCATCCTCAGAAGTGGAGGAATTGGAGTTGGAATTCTCCGGAGGGAAACTTGGCCTGACGCCGAGAGCAAGCGGCGAAGCCATAGCTCCGGCGAGCAGCTGAGAGAAAGAACGGCAATCGGAGTCAGGGTGGCTGTCGGAGAAGAAGCTAGAGACAAGAGTCATGGGGCCAGGGCTTAGGCCGAGTCCACCGGTGAAGAAGGCCTCCATGGAAGGTCGAGGCGGGAGAGTGACGGTCGGACGAGGCGGCGGTGCCGCGAGGGGTTGGCCGTTTTTAGTTGACATTAATGGATAAGAGGAAGGAAGGAAGGAAGAAGAAGAAAAGCTCTAAGCGCAGTGCATCCAGCCAACTGAAACTTTAGTGATGTGTTTGGTGATGGCGCAATTAGTGATAATGCTTCATGTGATCTCTGAGGGCGCAGGTTCAAATGAAAGTCCACGACGGATGCAATGAAAATCATTTCTTGGGAGAATGACACTAAGGTCCCATGCAACACAAAATACTATAAAAAAGTCCCAGAAAATCTGGTAATGATTATGAAGTCTCAAAGAGACTCGAGTGCAATTTGATGAATTGTAAAAAGACGCCTCTGCCCCTGGTGAGATACACACAAACTAACTGAAAGCTGCCCTGTTTTTCAGTCTGAAAATCGGTACTCCATACGCAGGAAGCAAGAGGGAAAAAACCCAAACTTCATTCTGTTTCTTCCTCCATTCCCATCTGAAAATCTCATCCACTCCATTAATGTCAATCATTGGCAAAAATCACTTGTGTTTTTGGTTTGGTGTGTGTTTGGTCATTCAAGTTGGGGTTTTATTATAGGTGGACAGGGTGATCATGGATGTTCTGTTTCTAGGTATATTGTGAGTGGATTGAAGGTGGGCTTGCTCTGTCCGGGCATGATTCAGGGGGAATTGATGAGAAAGATGAAGGTTGGTGTGATTAGAAACCCTTACTGCGAAATAGGAAAATATGTCGTCAATATGGGCCGCGACAGTTGTCAATATAGCTCTTTGACTTGTCAATAGTAACAGCATTGTACAGATTTACATTAACTGATTTTTTAAATTTTTTACACAAAGGTCATGACCTTCTGTACCCTTGACTCATTGGTAGAGGTCACAAAAAGAGGAAGAAGAGGCAACAAAGAAGGGTGAGTAGTTACATGAGGCAAAAGAAAAAAATGGAAAAAAAAAAAAAAAGAAGCCACTTTGATCCTATACAAATGATGGCAAAAGAATTTTTTTCGTAAATAGAAGTGACATAGATTTTGTTTGTAGATGTCACAACATGCACAAACAATTAGTTTGATACTGGATACATGCAACTATATGTTTTGTTTAATGGGGTTATACAGTCGGTGTAATTACATATATATAAAGTTGTAAATGAAAGTTAGCTATGTATCACATTCTGATGCGTAGTTAGTTGTCATTATCCGCACTCTTCATTGTCAATATATGCTTCATCACTTGTCACTCACTGCACCATCAGTTGTCAATTAATGTGCTGATATAAATTTTAAAAAAAATATGATTTTCGTTACATAATATTATACAACGTCATACAATATCACTAATTCCTCAAAACTAATCCATTTTTTATAATGTGATATAGAATAGTTATTAAAAGTCAATCATCACTGATATGAAGTCGTAAAATCACTTGTCATGAACAACATATTCACTTGTTAATGGTTTTGCTTTGTTCTGATGTTAGTTTAGTGGCAAAAGAAGAAAAAGATAAAGGTTAATGTGGGTAGAAATTCTTAGCATGAAATAGGATATTGTGTTGTCAATCAGCTTGCGATAGTTGTCAATGTGTGCCACGATAGTTGTCAACATAGCTCCTTGACTTGTCAATGACAGTTGCGTGATTCTTGATGCAGGTTTAAATTACTGATGGCGAATACATTTGGAAAACATCTATTTTGCTTTGTTCACATAGGGAGAAAGTTTATAAATGATAGAGAAGATGATATGAGATATGTGGGAGGTAGTGTAAGAACAACAATATAAAAGAGGGCACAAGTTATGAAGAATTGAAGGAAATTATATCATCAATTGATGGAAAAGAAAATAACTCATTTCTTTTGAAATTCTCAGTTGTGTATAGCTCAACAGCACCCAACGTAGAAATTAATAACCTGAGTTATCCAAAATAACAAGTAATATAACAGGAGTTAATGACAAGTAATATAACAATGTCATAACAAATGAATGTGTGGATATTAACAATTACTATTCAAAATTTTTATAATTGAAGGTGTCATTTATTTATAATGTTAAGTGATATTTGCATTAAAATATAATTATTAAGAAGAAGGTGTTGCTCAAATTTATGTTCAATTGATAAGAGATAGTGTCTTCATTAACAAGTTATAGTGCTCTATTGGCAAGTCACAGTTCTACCATTAACAACTGATAATCCGCCGTGGCGTTTGACCATATCTGCCGCGATGCCCCCATCTGTCCCTAGGAGCTGCCATTCTGTGTAAGGCGCTGCGGTGCCTGATCATATATGTCGCAGCGCCCAACCCTTTCAAGAAATTATTTGGCGAACAACAAGTCACAGTATTACCATTGACAAGTTAGTGTGCCACCATTGACAAGTCACAGTGCTTCAATTAACAAGTCACAGTGCCATCAGTGACAAGTCATAGGGTCACCATTGACACTTCATTAATAATGATTATATATGATAATATAACCAAAATATAATATGACAGAGTAATTAAAAATATCATATGATACTAAAATAGGTTATGTAACTTGAATTCATCTTGTTGACAACTTACATCAGCAAATTAATTGACAAGTCACAGTGCTCCATTGACAAGTTATAACAGGTCTAATAACAATGCAGGGTGCGAGTAATGACAACTGAAATGACAGCAGAATCTAACATGCCAAGTTACACTGAAACCATTAACAAGTGAATATGTTATTCATGACAAGTGATTTTACGACTTCATATCAGTGATGATTGACTTTTAATAACTATTCTATATCACATTATAAAAAATGGATTAGTTTTGAGGAATTAGTGATATTGTATGACGTTGTATAACATTATGTAACGAAAATCATATTTTTTTTAAAATTTATATCAGCACATTAATTGACAACTGATGGTGCAGTGAGTGACAAGTGATGAAGCATATATTGACAATGAAGAGTGCGGATAATAACAACTAACTACGCATCAGAATGTGATACATAGCTAACTTTCATTTACAACTTCATATATATGTAATTATACCGACTGTATAACCCCATCAAACAAAACATATAGTTGCATGTATCCAGTATCAAACTAATTGTTTGTGCATGTTGTGACATCTACAAACAAAATCTATGTCACTTCTATTTACGAAAAAAATTCTTTTGCCATCATTTGTATAGGATCAAAGTGGCTCTTTTTTTTTTCCATTTTTTTCTTTTGCCTCATGTAACTACTCACCCTTCTTTGTTGCCTCTTCTTCCTCTTTTTGTGACCTCTACCAATGAGTCAAGGGTACAGAAGGTCATGGCCTTTGTGTAAAAAATTTAAAAAATCAGTTAATGTAAATCTGTACAATGCTGTTACTATTGACAAGTCAAAGAGCTATATTGACAACTGTCGCGGCCCATATTGACAACATATTTTCCTATTTCGCAGTAAGGGTTTCTAATCACACCAACCTTCATCTTTCTCATCAATTCCCCCTGAACCATGCCCAGACAGAGCAAGCCCACCTTCAATCCACTCATAATATACCCAGAAACAGAACACCCATGATCACCCTGTCCACCTATAATAAAACCCCAACTTGAATGACCAAACACACACCAAACCAAAAACACAAGTGATTTTTGCCCATGATTGACATTAATGAAGTGGATGAGATTTTCAGATGGGAATGGAGGAAGAAACAGAATGAAGTTTGGGTTTTTTCCGTCTTGCTTCCTGCGTATGGAGTACCGATTTTCAGACTGAAAAACAGGGCAGCTTTCAGTTAGTTTGTGTGTATCTCACCAGGGGCAGAGGCGTCTTTTTACAATTCATCAAATTGCACTCAAGTCCCTTTGGGACTTCATAATCATTACCAAATTTCCTGGGACTTTTTTGTAGTATTTTGTGTTACATGGGACCTTAGTGTCATTCTCCCTCATTTCTTTCTTCCTCTCGCTCTCTCTTTCTTTTTTTGTGTGTGTTTTTCTTTTAATTAATGAAATTTTTTTCTTCCTGTAATGGAACAGGCAACGGATACGCATTGTGGGATACGTCGTCCGTCATCAGGTAAGAAAGCTTCTCTCTCCTGTTATTTTTTTTATACGGCATTGTATTAACTCATGATTATACGATAATATGAATAATTAATATTTCAAAAATTAATGAAACATTAAGGCCCTGTTAAGAATCACATTTAAGTTCATTTCACATAATTTCAGACAAAACTTCTCTTACATACTTATCTTATATTCCGTAAAAATTATTTATAACTTAAATTAGAATATTAAAAAAAAAAACTCATTCTTTGTTATGAAAAAAGAAATACTCATTCTTTTCATGTTTATGCTAGTTAATAACTAATATTGTCAAAATCAGACCAATCAGATCTATCATATATCCAGGTTTCACCCCCCGACCATTTCTTGTACGCTCGATGCCACCCAAAGGATTTTGCTTTTGTCAAGATGCTTGCTTACTATCATTGTTTTCAAAATCCATGTCTCTAAGCAAAGGATACTTCCCGGGGCCAGGAGTCAATATATGTGGCTTTAAAGGCACTGAATTGGTAGCAGCTGTGGTGTGGCTGCTATTTCTAGAAGCAGGCACATCATGGTTGTGTTTTCCCTCATACGTAGTTATGAGGTTTTCAGAGCCTGTTGAAGATCTCAACAATCTCTGGTTTGCTTATTTAGAGATGTTTTAAAAAGTACCATGTCTTGACCTTAGTGGTCAATGGCGGCGTTTATTAATGACTTTCGCTCTGCGTTACTGTTAATGCAAGAGATGCTTATTGTCCTCTTGTTTATTTGCAGCATCATGCATGTTGACAGTGTGAGCTGGTGTGAAAGTGTCTTTTAAAGAGATCAGGTCTTTGCAAAACTATACAGATTCAGATTATATATAGCTTAGATGTAAAGGAAGAGTATTTGAAAGTGGAATTCATACAGATCGGTGCCACTCAAGCCTATTTAATTACTCTCTCTTGCAAAAAATAAAAGGTAAGGTGTTGATAGGTGAACCCAGAATTCAGGACTTAGTCTCAAAAAAATAAGTGGAAGAAACAGCCAGGCCCTGTACATCGTAAGTGCGAACCAGTCTTTGTCTCTTGTTAGGCGTCTCAAGCCAACAGAACTCCAAATGGAAAGATTTTGACTCTGCAACACTTTTTGACACGTCACAAGGACACCCCATGTACATCCCTCCCGGCAACAGCGTAACCTGGTATCCTCCATCAAATGTAACCAAATTCTCTGACATTGTACCCTTCCACTCCACATTTGTAGTCACGTTTGCATTTTCCTTGTTCGATGTTGAAGTCACAACCTGATACACAAAAGCAGCAAGCTGTTCATTTTACAATATCAAAGTAAAGTGAAAGCCCTCCTCATGAAGTTTACGAACTTTGAAACTTCTCTAATTGAAATATCTGTTTTGGTTTCATTCTTTAGCAGTTATATTTTCTCTTAATTTTCATCTGCTTGTGCCTTGAGGTGTAAGAGTGACATACCTGATTAAGCTGGCCATCGTCATCCATTTCAAGTGACACAACTGTATCAGCTTCAGCAATCGTAGATCCATATACACCACTACGTTTTGTAACAGAATGGCCTTTCCACTCGCCAAGAAAGGGTAAAATCTTACTCTCTTTGTCCTGCCATGAATCCAAAACAAGAAAATGTGTCACACGTGAAAGAAACAACCAACAAAGAATTACTCAGTCATCAAGCTATTTTAAAAATAGGTAGACTTCCTAATACTTAAAATTCCCTTCATAGCATAGATATATATGCAATCCAGTGTTTGTGGGCAGGTGAATTTGTTTCATATATGAGAATGAAAAAATGTTGCTTATCCCGAGTACCATTGAATTGTCAAGCAGAGGTGGAGACCCATCACTTTTTTCCTCTAGGAAAACAATAAGCATATCTACAACTCCTTTTGGATCCAAAATGTGAAAAGCTCTTGCTCGCATCTCTGCCTGAAGAGAATACAAGCAACTCTCACATACTACAGAAGGTCGCCGAGAGGGAAGCTTCACATTTCTGCACGTTAAGGAAATGAAAAGTCAAAGCAAATGGTAGAAATATAAGTTGCACATATGTGTTTGCTTGCTGGTGCATACACATATATGCTGCTACATTTTACAAACTAGCAACTTCCTAATCTAAATGAAAAGGTTCCTAGTATCAATGTCCAAAAACAGACCATATTTGTAGTTGACCATATTAGAAAAAGTCCACATTAATCAAGAGGAAGAAGTCGATCTGGAATGTTGGAAGTAGGCAATTGAGAAATCTGACAGAATGCTTTGAACTATTCCATGCTACGTCAGTATATACGGAGTATATTTTGTTTTACATAGTATGATGAAAATAATCAAGTACCAAAGGCATTTTTGCACGCCTCCTTCTTAAGCCCACACATTGGTGCATTGGAATTGACAACTACATGGCAACAATGGCAAGGAGTTGTCGGATAATGGAACCATGGATAATAGGATTTTAGGTTTATCTTGAATTTAGTGCATCAATCCGAAAATTGGCTTAACTAGAATAATCAGCTCAGAGACATTAATTTGTTATTTGCATTTATGATCTCAATAGGTATATTTTTCCTAATGGGAACACATTTAAAATTACTATAGTTAAAGCAAATTAACTTGTTTTCTTTTTTCTTTTCTTTTTCCGTTTGGTTTAGTTTTCCAAAGATTTGTTTGCATCACATAGAGGGGTGTTTGGGTAAGAATAAAATCATGGTTTCAGAAGTGCTTTTACGGTATACAAAGTAAATATGTAGAGGAGTTTGTCTCGATTTGTGGAAAAGTGCTTCTAAAAAGCACTTCTGGGGTTAACCAAACACCCCCGTAGTGTGCCATTACCACATGCATTGATTAATACTACCTCCGGTCCTTAATATAAGACCTCGTTTAACTTTTATTTTAGTTCTAAATATAAGACACCAATCCACTTTATTTCTCATATTTATTTATTTTTTTCCAGTATAGTCTTCCTAATAATAGTAGTTTTAGCTAACACACTTGATTAGTAAAAATATTTTAGGAAAGATAACATCTATTTATTATAAATAACTAACTTAACTTATTTCTTTAATTTACTCAAATTAGTCAACTAGCTCTTATATTTAGAACCAGAAGTAGTATCATCAAAACTAGAGACCTGACGAACCACAGTTTAAACCCCGTATTAGTCACTATGATGCGCAACAGATCATCAACATTATGCATCTTAATCACATGTCCACAGAAAAATTAGTCAGCGAGACGTCTCCATGCAATGGCAAAACAAAAGAGTAAAGCTTGTATCGGATTTCTGTCACTACCCACGCCAGCTGCAATCTCAATTTAGTTTACCCATGTCTACTAACTGCAACTATGACAGTAAACGCCCGACCTGCTTACAAAATTATCAAATAGTGATTTAAGACCTTTCAGAGAATCACTTACTTTGGTGATTCTTCACCAGTATCATCTTCTCCAAGAACCCCTTGCCTTAATACTGTTTCCAACATGCCAGCTGTTTGATACCTCAGGGAAAATGCTCTCTCAGATGGAAAAAAGCCAATCTGCAGGCTAATCATAGTGGATATTTTACAGAAGACAAAGGGATAACAAAACATAAGGCAAAGATACTGTGTCCATGGAAAGAAATCGATAATTATGTGTTCTCTGATACATTCACTAATAGGAGGAAAACTCACTTGTTGATATTTGTCAGCAGTAAACATATTGGTTTCTTTGATTTTGTACTCTGCCCACTCTGATTCCTCATCATATCCAGAAATTGAAGTATTTGATGAAGGTTGCTTAATGTATAGGCTACAAGAAGCAATATAATAAATGAATGAATCAAAGACTTGTAAACGGTCTTCGTTGTGTAACAGATACAATGATTAATGACAATTTAGCTCTAAAGAACTTGATTGCAGAGCTTCACTTCATGACCGACTGGATTAAATCCACTGGATAGATGAAATATCGGAGGTTTATCGCGCATTGTCATTTTGGCTTTGATATCAAGAAAGTCAGTCAACATCCAAGATATTTGTGTTACGTTAATATACTCTTATAATATGACAATTTTATCGTTTCTATGTTAAATTGTCCAATATAATCATCTTAATTACCGCGGTTTGCAAGATGCTATAGAATGCGAAGTGCAATGAGTGTCTCAAAAGAATTATCCGTTTCTTTCCTTCTAACTTTTAAGCATTAAAAAAAGGGGTCATGAGAAGCTTACGTTTGAATGAGACTCATGAGATGATCTTCCCCATAAGAACTTGCTGAAAGCTTCGTACTTATTTGTTGCAACAAATGCCCAGAAGCATCAAATTGCTGAAAAAGGAAAAAGGGAACTAGTAAGGCAAAAACACAAAATTGCTTCTTCAAGAAATTTTCCATTATGATGCTTACGTAGAAAGACCCATTCCATTTTCCCATATTAAGCTCGATGAAGCTATGAAGATTGTCTATGCTCATCACTGCTTCTTCTACTGACGGGGAAGATTGTGAACTCGATGCTCGGATTCTGGGAAAGGAACATGAACGTTTTGGGTTGGCTAAATTTAACGAAAAGGTTCGACCATTGTTGGACTTGGGTAACTTGGGAACCGAATGGATTGAAACTGAGTAGTGAATGGAAGCCATGGCTCCGCAGTGAGAGAGCGAAGGTCGACCCTATGAAAATGAATAAATGGTGAGAGCATTATCTAATCAGCCAACCGATAATAAGGACTTTTCCTAAATTTTTTCATAACTGTTTTAGTAAATCTAAATATACAGTACTCTCGCCCGTATATGAGGGCATATTTCTAACTTCATATAAATCATCACCCTTAAAATTAATTATTTTTTATTATTTTATGTTACATTTAATCTCAAGGTGTCTTCCTTTCACATTTTAATATAATATTAAAGTATCTAATAATAATAATATTTGTAAAGAGAAATAATAAAAAATAATAATTTAATTTTAAGACAATTTTATTGATTTAACTAATTTTAATCTTGTTGGGTTAGTTAGAATTGTGGAGGGAGTAAATTGTAATTCAATGTAGTTGGAATTGATTTGTTAATGTGAGAAACTCTTGCTTATTTAGTTTTTTTCACTATTGAATTGTAGTTTATAATTTTTTGTCATATTTTGATGCTTTTAAATTTGATAAAATAAAATATGCTTAATACAATTTTTGATCCCTCAAGTTTATTCTTATTTCGATTATGATCCTCAAGTTTCAAATAATAAATTTTGGTCATTCAAGTTTCTTTTTGTTTAAAATATTAGTTTTTATCATTAAATAAAAATTTAGATCATTTTACCCCTCAAAAGACAAAAACTTATAGTTTAAAATTCTGAGGACCAAAATCAAAATAAAGACAAATTTAAAAGACCAAATATTATATTAAGCCAATAAAAACTCAAACAAAACCAATCTCTTAATTATCAACTGGACATGTTTTCACGTCAAAAAAAACTGGACATGTTTTTACATTCTCCAACTAAAAATGTTGTAAGGGCGTTATTGTCAATATCTTTTGTTTCTTTTATAGATAAAATTGTTTTACAAATATAAAAACATACTGATTAATAATTATTAAAGAGAAAAAATAATATAACTTTCATATTTTTCATTATATTAATTATATTGTATTATATCATCAAATTCATAAAAGTAAAATAATTGTTTAACTCCATTTATGAAGTTAACCTTTCTTGGACAGGTAAGATTTTTTAAATCATCAAGAGCTCTTCAAAATTATTTTAAATGCATTAGTGTTGGTAATATATCTATAATCTATATCAATAATATTAATAAAAGTGGTGAAGGCAGTAGAGGTCATTACAGCACAAAAATAATGGCGTGAGCAGTGAGCACACAAAGGTCATCAATTGCTCATTTTCTCTACCATCTCTATCACCTTTTCAAAGCTACCTTAGTGTAACCAGTGCACAAAACACTTCATATATGAATATTTGTATGAAATTTAGGGTTGAAACATATTGAATTATCACCAGTTCCATCTCCCATTCCACTATGGTAAGAGCAATCAATTGGGAAGAAATATTTTTACTGGCCCAACGATTGATCCAGCTTTAACAATGTTGAATACAAGGGAACCTTCATTTACATAGAGGAACGACGAATATCCTCTCTGCAATCCATCACACAAGTGCTGTTCAGTCCAATCTTCTCAACAAGTAGGCAACCTGAACTTCCTTTGTCAGAGGCATGATCCAATCACCATAAAGATCAGCAACCAAGCTTGGTTTGATTTTGTAGACTGGTTCGGTGTCATGCCCTTTACTGTTTAGAGGCACCTCCATCCCATAAGTCTTGGTCTTCTCTTCTACTCTCCTTTTTATTGTCTCTTCAACATCAGAAAATGTTAGCAGACCCATCAGCTGATCTTTGTCCTGCACAATCGAACATGATTAGTGTTTCAAGCAGAAATACCACTAGCATCAGAGTTATACTAACTCAATATGAATGATAACGAGGCATTCATGGAAGTATGACCAGTTTCTCATGAGTATTCGTACCTGCGCTATAATAGCCTTTTTATATTCATCTGGAGCGGCTTGAAACTTAGCCTCCGCCACAAATTTTCCATAATGTATTCTCTTTGAGAGAGCCTGCAGTTCCCCCCCCCCCCAAAAAAAAAAAAAAAAATCCAGAAACTGAGAACCAGAGTTTGCCAAGCTATGGAACTGACCACTATTTGTTAATGTAGCCTCAAAACTTGTCAAGGAATGACAATGGCAAAACTTATCCAAAAGATGCATGCCAAATGTCAACTACACAAACTTGCAACAGTTTGTATATGTTATTGACATTGATTGAGAAAGACAATATCTATTTATTTTAAGAAAGACAACACCTATTTATTACAAATAATTAATTAACAAACTTCTTTAATTTAATCAAATTAGTTAACTAGCTCTTATATTAAGAACCGGAGATAGTATAAAATTAAGTATAACTGATAAATGAAAACTTCACCACAGGAATCTTGTTCAATTGAGGAAGCAGCCTTACTTATTCTTCTTTATAGGTAAGTGATATTATGTTACTGAGAAGAGGTCATACTGTAAATTTACAAAATCATTCACCAATCAAGGGAAATGAGCTAGAAATGAAGAACAACTATCCAAGTTGGATAAATAATACCACATGAATAAACTTTGGAAACATAAATGACATAGAACCTCTAGAGTGTTTCAACAGAATTGGAAAAGAAAAGGAATTAATTAAAATGCATACCTGCAAGCACATTGTATCACAAACAGCAGTAGATCCACAATTACCATCATCTCCTTCTGTGACTAGCCGTGGGATGAGATCTGTAAAGTATACTTTCCATACTCTATCATTTATATTAATCGTATCAGCAACAGGATGCAATACCTATTCACATATTAATCAAACAAAAATCTCATAAGGACAGCTAGCACATAAAAGATTTAGCAAAAGAACACAATGTAACACATAAAAAACTCACAATCTTTCCAGTAGCCATTCACTAATTTAATTAAATATGTAAAATAATATGCTAAATGTTTATTGAGGACACCACAGCAACTTCTGACAGCAATAGATTTTCCAAAGTCGAGCAGTAACAGTGAAAATGGTACGTAGATTGATTTTTCACGCTTTTGATGTGTTCTGGGAAGCAAACTGAAATGTCTAATAGCATAAACCACAACTCCCATGTTACAACCTCATGAAAACTGCAACAGAGTCTATCAGACTTTTAGGCCCTATTTTTGCCCAAAAGAAAAATCACAATTCTGTCCGAGCAAGAAAACAGTTCGATAAAAAACCAGAATCTTCATTAGGGGAACAATCTTAATTATTGTGAATGCATACTTGATGTTGGACAACAGAACAAAGAAGAGATAAAGGGAAAGGAAAGGAGGTGGATTGAAAGAAAGAATTGTGGGGAAGAAGTTCATAAACTTGGCCGTCGATACTGAAAAACTGACTGTGGATCCTATAGAATGGACCCTTTACAATGAACCCAGAAAAATAACAGTGTGAATTAGAATGAACATGGACAATAAAAACTAGACAGCCTCAGTAAGCTCCTACTTCTTAGTGACTAAATTGATATGTGTTTTCTAATCAGTATAAGGATATTTATCAATACCTTAGGGTAATGCAAAGGTGGTAACATTGGTTCAGGTAAGCCATCAGGGAAAAATGGATGCTCATCCGGGCTCTTGTATCTACCCACCTTCAGTGAAATGGAAACCCGGTCAATAAAAAAAAAAAAATATTAAAAAAAAAAAAAACTCAGTATGTTTCAGTTTCATACTTGAGCATGAAGCTTCTCAGTTTCCTTCAATATGTATTGAACCAAAGATCCGCGGAATCCATCAATGAAGATGGCGTCAGGATCATATGTATCTGAATTATAGCAATATTGCGCTCGCTCCAAAAGGCTAAAAATTATGCTATCCTCTTGACGAATTAAAGAACGCCGTATATGATCTAGAGTCAAATTTTCACTTACATCAATTCTTTTCTTTGCTGGCGTTGATCTGCATAAAAGCAATTAACTAATTTTAAACTTAAAAAGAGAAATAGTAACCACAAACATTGTCATCCTCGAAATGAACAATAAGCATGTAATGTAAACCTTGAAGATGGGTGAAAAAATTATTAAAATAATTTAAAGTTTTTTTCACCGTGCTTCTTGAAGATTCAAGAATCAACAAACCGAGTATAAAATAAGCTAAGATCGGTGAACCCGTGATGATCAGGAATGTGACGGGCAGATGATGATGAATCTTGAAGAGGCGAAAGAAACAATAATAATTCTTAGCTTACAAAGGGAAAGAACAAAACAAAACAAAACAAAACAGCAATCGTACCACCAGACACGATTGTAAAAGAAAGAAAATGTGCTCATGCTAAATAATAAGCGTCTAAGAACATGCCCTATGAGTCAGATTACCATAACCACAGCAAATTACACGAAAATCATAAGCCATGGCACCTTATAAGCAGGTGTACAAATGGGCTAAAGAGAGAATAACAACAAGCTGGAGAGTTAAGCCCCATGATAGAATACAGCAAATAATTGCAAGAACCCGTGAAACAGTGTGCTTACCCAGCCGAAACCGCAAATGCCTTCAGAGAAATAAAGCGTTTTCCACCAAAATTGGTAGCGGGGTTAACAAGGAAGGAAGTGTTGTGTCTTGGGAAGTCAAAAGCGTAATTGGCTTTCGAAGTAGAGAAAAGGGAAGGAGCAGAGGGCGTGGGTCTCAAGAGCTTGGCCTCCATTTGAAAGAACGAAGGGGAAGGTGAACGAATTGAAACCAGAGAATACCAGAAAAGGAAGAAGAACCGAGTTAAATTAAGTAACACTTAACCTGATATATGTATATACACACACACAAACACATAGACAGAGCGAGCGAATGAAGATTCAGGACTTGGGCGCCGCCGCCCCATGGGCGGGCGGGGTTGGTGAGGATACCTATCAGAGGGTTAGGTTAGGTATGCACAGGAGTTGGGCGGTGGGGCCCACTGCCCCTGAACACGGACCTCCAAGGCTTGAAGTGAAAGAATCTTTAACAGATCTCAATTTCAAAATACAGCAACTTAGTTAACTTTATTCTTTGAATTCATAATTTTTTTAAT